CCCCCCCCCCCCACGTCCCAGCGATCCCTACCGCTCAGGATCTTGGGCTGCAGCTCGCTGGTCTCCGGGATGGGTGGGGTCAACAGGTCCACGAGGCCGATGAGCAGCGCCTCGCACACGTCGTAGTTGACCAGGTCCTTGATCAGCTCGATGGCTGGGGGAGGGCAGAGGCGATGCAGAAGCCTGCCTCCAACACTCTCCACCCCCAGCCAGGAAGCAAAGAGCTCCTGGAACCACGTTGCTTTGCTTTACCTCATCCTCTTCGTTGACCTTTCCTGACCTTTCCTGGCCAGCACTGCACCGGGTGTGGGGAGAGCTGGGCAGAGGACACCTCGGTCCTGCCTTCTTGGAGCTCTTGGTTATAGCGGAGGAGGGGGAGCTCTCCCCCTACACCCCCACCAGCCATTAGCGGGGGTGGGGGGTGGGGGGCAGGGTTGGGTGATGAGCCCATCCATCCTGGAAGCTTGGAGGAACTCAGGAGGATTCATGCAGGAAGGAAGGGCTGGGTTTTCAAAGGGAGACAAGGGGTGAGGAGGAGACAGCAGGTGGGTGGGGATCTGTGGCAGAAAGTGAAAAAGGGGTGCAGGCAAGGTGGACAGCAGTTTGGAGAAACGTTCGTTTCTGATGGACCATTATCGAGCCCTTCTTTGCCTTGGTTGTGTGCTGAGGGCAGTGAGATTCGCTTTGCAATAACACTATGCCTGTTAACCCCATTTACACGGAGGAATGAGGCTCAGAGAGGTACGGCACTTTGCCTAAGGTACCACAGCTAGGAGGCGGTGGGAGCAACAGGAAGGAGAGATTTGGTTAGGAGGGAGGAGGCAATTAGAATGTACTGAAGGAGTTTTCTGTGGGTGTTTTCCAGTTATTCATTCCTCCCAACGTTCACTCAGCCTGTAGAATGCCTATTGTCACAGTATGGTAAGGAGCCTGTGAAAGGGGTCAGTAGGCTGTGGGCGTGCCTGGGGAGATATAGAGAGAGGAACCAGAGAGCAGAGCTGGAA